AACTGGTGAAAAAATTGGAAGCGAATGCGGCTCAAAATAAACATTAAAAAATAGAGTCTACTGGGGCATCTTAATTTGCACACATGAATCAGAAAACATGGTTGGAAAGCAAGAGTCCTAAGATGTTTTTCCTTTAGCAGATGAGGATCTGATGGTGTTCTTGGCTTCTTTAATGTTAATACTAGCACTATTATATCAACTTAGCAACTTCAGACATATTAAAAAGTGCATTAAACCTATTATAAACCTGATCTTGACATACTGTAGTCTCTCAATCTAATTGACAGTGTGTCAAAGTATGGGAGGTTTTAGATACATATCGAACAAAGTAGAAAAGCCTATAGACCAACACATTAAATGCATGCCAAGCTTCACAAAATAAGAGATAAGTGTTTTAGAAAGAGGTGGTTTCACTTCATGGAAACCTGGATTATGGTGGTTAAGGTTACAACGCTAATGTCTCATTTGACATTTGAAACAAATATATTGCCCAGCACCAAGTTACTTCACCAAGTGTGATTTATTCCTGAGTTTATAAATTCTGAGTAAGGTGTCCGTGCTGGGGCCTCACAGGAGCACTGCTTGCCTTTGGAGGGCAGGGGATGGTGATGTGGGCAGGTGGGTCAGCCTGACCTGAGCTAGTCTGTATGGCTTGGCAGGGGACAGCCCTTCCAAGGGCTCTGTCTGGAGGCTGGCACACCTGAGAGAGAGAGGTCTGGGGACATGATTCAAGAGCAAACAAAGTCTGTGCAGTTCTCTGTCTTGATGTAAGTTGTTTGCATAATATTCTCCTCCTTTTTGGCATGGGCACAGGCAACAGCAGCAGGCTTTTCCTTAGGGGTGAAATTTGCTTGGAAATGGAAGATATGGTCTATTATTTATGTTTGTGACAGCGATGCCTTGTAGGCCTGCTCAATATGGGGCTTAATTCTGAGAGATGCTGCACAGCATAGCAGAAAGCCTTTGATCCAGAGGTTTTGTAGTTTAGATCAACGAGGCAAGGGGGTGAGGTGATCTTTCTTTGGAAGACAGATAGTTTTTAAGTCTGCTTCTCTAGCACAGGCCTCATCTTGAATCAAACAGTAACTAGTGACTGAAAGGTTTATTCCAGAAACGTTTTTTCTATTAGCAGATTTAAAAAAATGTTTGTGTGAAAACTGGATATGGAATTTAATGTGTTTGCTACAAAGTCAGTTTGCTAGTCAGTGAAAGTCTGAAAGGGTTAAGTAACATGTGATGCCATGTTGGCTGGCTTTGATTTATCCACACAATGCAAAGAGCAAGCCGGTCTGCCATGTTCTTACAGCTGCACGTTGCTTGAGAGATTAATTAATGATTCCTGTTCTGAAATTCTACTCTTAGAGTATGTTTTCCGAGCCTGTATACATATGAATCTTCTACAGTGATTTCCCTATGTATTAAACAGGTTGAGCTACTCTTGTTGATTTGCACTGTCTTCTGATGAGCTGTTCTGTGGGTTTTGTTTGTTCTTCTACATTCAGTGTACACCCAGACCCTGACTTCGAGGCTCTGCCTTGTGATTCTTAATTCTCAAAGCCCAGTGAATGGAATATACATGCTAAATTAAACTTGATTTCAAAGCAGCAATACTCCTTCACCCCAAATCTGACTTTCTGTTGGTCTGCAAGTGAAGCTTTAATGCTATAAGCTGTGTCATGATATTTTCCCTCAGAGGTTTAGGGATTTGCTACCCGAGCCTGATCTGTCGATTGGCCTTTTTGTTTGTTTGTTTTTCCCTGAGGTACAGTGCAAAGCAGGTGTTTTGAGGTGTTGTGTTTTTTTTTCCAAGGTTTTGGGAAGAGTGACTCCAAGGGAACAGCTGAGTTTTTTGTATAATATGTATTATTGACCTTATTATAATTTGCCTTCGTTTTTTAAGGAACTCCTCGTAATGTCAGGTTGTCTTGAATAGATTAGCTTTTTATCCTTTCTAATCTTGAAATCCTCTTAATTATTAGGAGAGCTAGTGTAAATGAGGATGGATTTAAGAAACAAAAAAGGCAAGAATGCCAAGAAGATACTTAACTAGAAGTAGAATGCCCATATTTGCCTCTTTCCACCTACTCTCCAAATAGCCTCATTACAGTCATTGAAATGACTGTTGTCATCACTGAATTCCTGGGACAAATGCTTTTTCCTCTGTTCCTCAAATAGTTGCTCAAAGATAAAAGTCTGTAGAAAAGTTACTGTAGCTGTTTGCAAAAGATGACTGGCTGAAAGATGTGTCATGGAAGGGTTTGAAAGTGGATTTTGACTTGCTGGAGGCATAGATAACAAACTGGGTGGCAGCAATCTGTATCAGGAAACTTAGAAAAAATAATAGACTCTAGTGCTTATCTTAAAAAAAAATGTATCTGTGGAAAGCTTGAAGGAAAAATAGTCTTGTGGTTAACAAGTATATTCTTTACATCTGAAAAGAACCACCTGCACTTGTGCATAAACTCTGTTCTGAGTTTTGTAGTGGTTTGGAAACATAAACCTGTGGGGAGACAAAAGCTTGTTTGTCAGGGGACTGAGATGTTTTCTGGTGATGTACATCTGCTGTGCTGTCTGCTTGCTAAGCCTCTTCACTTTCCCTTTGTGGGGTTTTCTCAGGATCTTTGCTGAAGTTTCTTCCAGTTTGTGTGCTTGGGCTTTGTTGATTGTTTGTGTGCTTACCCAAGTTTAGGGAAGATAGCTTCAAAACTGTTACTCCTGTTTTTCTGTGAAATGTTACCACTGCAAGCTCTCTGGTCTCACTTTTCATGGCTGGACTGGTGACATTCAACAGTCCTCTATCAAAACTTTGTGCTCGTGTTCTGTCTCAAAAGAGTGAAAATTTCAATTGACACTGAAATCTGTTTACTATCTGAACTTTTCTTCCTCACTCCTGTTCTCTATTGTTCTTCTTAAACTTGCCAATATGCTTTGTTCTATCCTTCTTCTGTTCTTGTGGATCTGCAAATGTTTTTGCAAAAAGGTAAGGTGTAGCATTTGAAGCTATGGTTAAAATAACCAGTGGGTAACTAGTCTCTTCTCACTTAAAAGTATGTTGTTCTTCCATCTGTTTGACTTGCTGCACATTCAATCACTGACTGGCATGGCTTTTTTTTCAGTAGAAGGAAAGCTCCATAAATTGTTACGTTTTTTGTAGATTTTTCAATAACAATACTGCTTTGTTGGTTTTCTCATTTTCAGTCATTTATTTTTAGAATTTTAAAAACTGTTACATGAAATCACTTTCAAAAACCTGACTCCTAAACAAACTAGTGATCAAAACATTAAAGAATGCCATATGGCTCCTACCAGTCTTGATGCTGTTGTGTTTCTGGAGAGTACATTCTGTGTTATTAATACTCAATGAAATGCTCCCGGGGTGGGAAAATATTTACTGACATTATTGTGAAATATACTTTTCATAGTGTTCTTACCCAAGATGTTCTAGTCAAAATACTAGGAGTGTATCTTTTGGATTAATCCTTGCAGTGGGTTAGAAGCAGATGGATACTGGGGCAGAGAAAAGTTAGGGAAGGAGGAAGAAGATGCAGTAACTCAAGTGTTGAAAGATTAGCTGTATAGCAGTTTTAGTAGAGCTTTTTATATATATGGATTGTCTCTGAAGGAACTAAAGAAGAAAGCAGTCTGTGTGTATGTGCTGGCATCGTTTTGAGTAACTTCTGACCTTGAATACATGAATATTTAAGGTCTGAGATGTTTATGCAACCTTTTCTCTTGAAGTGAAACCAGAGATCCTGGTAGATAGTATCCCATAGAAATGACATTTAAAAGTGAAAAACACATGCAAACCTTGTGAGCGTTTGGGTTTTTAATTGTGGTGTTTGTAGACTTGTCTGTCACTGAACAGTGTAAGGTTTAGATTATTTTAATGGACTGCTGGTTTTAGATGCATCCGCAGCTAGTTCTGTCAGCTGTCGTGTGTGTTGGATCAGTAAGAAACAATTGATTTAATGTACTTGTGGATGTAGGCATCTCTTTTCTGTTATTAGCCTTGCATCAGTTTGCAAATCCATTGTCAGTATTTAAACAAATTCTGAATTAAATAATTTAGAGGCACTGGAAAGAAGTATCAATGCATGACTAGTTTGAAGGGGATGATGCTGTGCTTTACATTGAGCTTTGGAAGACTGCAGTTTCTGTGGTGCTCTTCTAGTGGGAATAAGGTACTGATGTGCAAAAAAATACTTGAAATTCCTAGAGACTTGATGATGCCGTTGTAGGGACTCTGCTTATTTTCTGTCCCTGTGTTTCTTTGCTTTCAGATCTTTGATGGCTTTGAAGTTGTTATCCCAATTTTGAGGGTCCCTTGTGTTAATCTTAAAGCCCCATCCTAATTCCCACCTCTCTTCCCATTCAGCCTAGAAGCTGAAGCCTCCCATCAATTCCCACAGTGGTTGTGGAGTGTTTGGAAAATCATGTTTCAAGAGGAGACTGATGAATCTTTTGAAGGCCATCATGAGGCTTTGTATAATAATTTGTTTTTATAATTAAAAAACCCCATATATATATCTGTGACTGTATTATTTAATTTTGAAATCATGGCTATCCTTTGGTATAGTATGGACTACTGGAAATAAAGCAGTTAGCCTTGGAGGAGAAAAGGCAACTTGAAAGACAAGACTTGAAAATGCTAGCATTTAATTGCCACAGTACCTTTGAATATATAAATTGTTCTTTATCCTAAATGTGAAAGATGTTTTATTGCACAGTGTTAAAGATGCTCTTGGGAGAACCACATAGAATTGGTTATAAAATATTTCATGATGCTACCATGTACCAGTAGTCTAGACAAAAGGTCCACTCTGGTATTATGTTTATTGCTCAGGAATGTCACTTACAAAAAAGAAGCTGTCTTTGTCCTTGGTGACTGTCATTGCAGGTCTATTCCCATGTGGTACCTTTATCATCGTGTGCTTTATTTGTTCACAGGGTAGCCCTAGTTCCTTGAGAGGTCACCAGATACTGGATGCTTGTGGTAAACCATGGCAGCTGATGATAAAGTTGCCATTCTAACCGACGATGAAGAAGAACAGAAGAGAAAGTATGTGCTTGCTGATCCTTTCAATGGCATTTCCAAGGATCAAGACTTGCCACCTCAGAATGAATCCCCTTCAACGGAGACAACCACAGTCCCAGATGAAGAGCTAGACTGGTTAGAGAAGCACTGCGTCAAAATAAACAATGATCTTCTGATCTCAAAGGTCTTTTATTTTTTCTTCTATTCTGCATATGGCTCCCTCTACCCCTTGCTGCCTGTGTATTACAAGCAGCTGGGTATGACACCTGGTCAGAGTGGACTTCTGGTGGGCATCAGGTACTTTATTGAGTTTTGCAGTGCTCCCTTCTGGGGAGTGGTGGCAGATCGATTCAAGAAAGGAAAGATTGTCCTTCTCTTTTCGCTTTTGTGCTGGGTTTTATTTAACCTGGGGATTGGTTTTGTTAGACCAGCCACCTTAAGATGTGTACCAAAGGGCCTTCCCCCAGCACATCCCACCAATGCAAGCAGCCTTTTAACAACAGCTTTGCAGAACGCCTCGATGTCTTCTCCACTAACCACAGTGAGTACTTCATCCCCAAAAGTTCGTGGCAAGAGACACCTGCTCACTTCCAGTCCGGTCACTTTGGAAATAACAGGGACAGCTAATCCTGAAATAACATTCCTGTTAGCTACACAGAGCAACGATGTGGAGTTGGTGATGGAAAACAGTACCCATTTAATTTCAAAGAACGCCACCGCTAGCCCAGCCTTACCTGGGAATGTGACGCCGAGTACGTCTCCAGCTGCCACCACCACCAAGCCAATGCCTTCTGACCAAGCTGTGCTTGTTTATGATCAACAAGAAGTTGAAGCCATCTTTCTACTCATTCTGCTGGTTGTCATAATAGGAGAATTCTTCAGTGCTTCCTCTGTTACTATTGTGGACACAGTAACACTGCAGTACCTTGGCAAACACAGGGACCGGTATGGATTGCAGCGTATGTGGGGGTCTCTGGGCTGGGGGCTGGCCATGCTCTCTGTGGGAATTGGCATTGACTATACCCATACAGAAGTTGTTATTGAAGGTCAAGGTTGTAAAGCTCCTGAGTACAAGAACTACAGGATAGTTTTCATTGTTTTTGGTGTGCTGATGACAATGGCATTGATTGTGGCCACTCAGTTCCGATTTCATTACGCCCACTTCAAGCAGGATGAAAGTAAGAGAAAAGAGGCAGAAATCTCACAGGTGGACAGAAGTGCCTCCAATGAATCCTCTGATAACACTCCTACCAGTATGAGCCAGTCGCAGTCCTTCAGTTTTTGGGACCTAATTAAACTGCTGTGTAGTATCCAGTACGGCTCAGTGCTCTTCGTGGCATGGTTCATGGGGTTTGGATATGGCTTTGTGTTCACCTTTCTTTACTGGCACTTGGAAGACCTGAATGGCACCACCACTCTCTTTGGAGTTTGTTCAGTGCTCAGTCACGTGTCTGAGCTGACTGCCTACTTCTTCAGCCACAAATTGATTGAATTGGTTGGTCATATCAGGTAAGATTGTTAGCCATCTTTAAAGAACTGTACCAAAAAAATGTTGAATTTCAAGCCCAGCTTTAGTTACAAAGTGAAATTAAAGTTAATGCTTTTTTTTTTTTTTTTTTTTAATGCTGAGTCCTGCTTGCCAGTTGGGGTTTTTAATTATTATTTTAGGAGCTGAAAAAGCTCTGAAATGCTTGCTTTGCATTTTAGTTGCATGTTGGTGTGTGCAGTATGCCTGGCACCATAACCTTTTGCAGACAGTTCCCCAAGACATCCTAGTTCACTGATTCAGAGCTCTGTTATAGATCTTGACAGATCACCACCTGCTCAAGGCTCGTCTGTTTTGACATATGAATACTATTCATTCTAGGGCTTTTATTCCTGATTCAGGAAACCTCCTTTAGCCTGCTTCTCCTTGTGGACAGTTCTTCGCCTCCACAGTAGCTGGGAAAGGTGTCGCTTGCACACCGAGAGAGGAGGAGGACGAGATGAAGAATCGAGGCAAGCACCTCCTGTGCACATGCCCTCATAATCAGCTTCTGGGTGTTGGCAGAATGAGGTTGCAGCCTGGTAGTGTCACTTTCCAGTTCAGTTCCTCGCTCTCTTTTGTTGGAGCTGTGTGTGTTAGCTGCTGAAGGGAGGTGGCTGAGCAGGGCTTCTCCCGTTGTGCTTGCCTTGTGTAAGCAAACTGATTCTTCCAGCATGCTAGTGAATTCTTTAAATTCACAATTGGCTTAAATTCTGTATATTCTAAATCCCTTTACTTTTCTGTAAGAAAGCTCAGGGGAGGAAAGATAGGGGGGAATCTGAGTTAATGAAGCTGTAAAGGTTTGGGGTGTTTTATTTTAGATTTACTCAGGTACTCTGTGCAACTGAGCTTAGTGTTTTTTAAGTTATCTGCTGTGCATTCTGTTCTGTTGCTTTGCTCTCTGTTTTTTTGTTTTGCTTTTGTTGGCATTATTTTTTTTATTCATTTGACCTCTGCTAAAAGCTTTTAGATGCTGAGCACAGCAACTCGAGAGATTAATTAAAATATGAGGGTTTTTCTGCCTTTAAGCTGAGGAGGATCTTTTACTTTGAGCCGGTCTTTTAGTCTCTGAATCTGACAATAATTAGTATGAGAAAATACAACACTTTGCATGCAAAGACTGGAGGAAGGAAATGATGATGGAGGAGCAGTGAGAACAGATCACAGTCTTGATAGCTAAAGATAGCTTGGATCTGATCTTTGAGTGTTGTGTTGTTATAGTACAAAATGCAGGCTTAGACTTCAACTAGAGAAAAAACAAAAAGCACAAAAGAATGGCAGACTTGTGCATAAAATGAAATATAATGGGATAGGAGCATTGGCCAGTAAAAAGAAAGGTGTTGTACAGGATAACTCCTTTTTATTCCTTTTTTTTTTTTTTCTATGAAGCCAAGACTGGATCAAGATTCAGTTGTTAAAACACTAGCTCCTATTTGCAGTGAAACAACATTCTTTATACCTACACCTGGGAAATGCATGTTAGTCATAATTTAATGTCATCTGATGCTTGTGTTTAGTCATCACAGTTTGAGATGTCTCCTTCTGTTTGTCTTTCTTGTACTTTTTGGACTTTGTATAATGCATGGGTTTGTTCAAGAGGAGGAAAACTTTTTTTGAGGAATAAACAGGAGTTCACAGCTCATTCTTTGCTGATGTGTGTATGTTATACATGCTGCTGGTGTTTCTAGCATTGCATATTTGCAGGTCATTAAATGAATCTGGAGTAATGACAGTGGTTGGTTCAGCTTGAAAGCTGTTAGTGACTGTACAGACTTAGGAGGGAGGGAACGTTGCAGAATGTTAGAAGTTGTTAAAAAGATACAAGTCATTAGAAAGTGTGGGGAAAGCCACAAGTTCCTTGTGATGGAATAGCGTACAAAACTGGCTATCAAATGTTTAGACAGAATGGTGTCCTGCATAGAAGCACTCATAACTGCCATTGACTTCAGAAAGATGATGTTAATATCTGGAAATAACCTCCCACTAGAGGTTAAGCTTGAATGTGTTTGACCACAATTCCAGCATGTAAGTTTTTATAGGAAGCAGACACCAGTAGTCATGGCTGTAAACAGCTTGCTGTCCTTGGCATAAGTACAGATTCAGTGCTTTAAATGTTTTAACCTGTAAATTGAATGTGCTGTTTCTGTGTATACTGTGTATAGGGTTCGTAAGGATCATCTGCTTACATTATCCTGCTCGGTCTGATAAAGAGCCCAAGTGATTATCAGAAATACTTTTTTGAAAAGACAACAAAACACAAGTTCTCAAGCCACATATGCCTCCAAAAGCACAATTAAAGAAATCTTCGTAACCTGTAGTTTACCTAAAACTCTGTGTATATGCCAACAGATTAAAAGGTAGAACCTGACCAAATTTCTGCTCCTAATCTCTTATTCCAAATCTTTCTGCAAGTGTAGCAAGGCAGAAAAGCGCAGGTAGCTGAGAGTTAGTGGTGAGGGAAAAACTTTGAACCTGGAGGAGACATATTCACATCTCTGGTCTGGCTGTGATAGGAAGGAGACGAGATGGGGAGAAAGTTCTTGGTGCACAAAGTTTTTCCTGCGCAAAACTGAAATTAAGCTGGCAAGAACTGGTTCTAAACAGAGCACAGGGAACATCTGTACTGCTGAGGGGGAAAAACAAGTGTATGGTGAGGTGATTCCTTGGTATCCCCAAGGGTGTGCATCACTCTGCTCCTTCCTGGTAGGGGAATGAAGAAAGGAACCTGCAGACCTTGTGTGTTTGTTTACCTTTTGTGGCAAATGTGTCCTAACACTTGAGAAATGTGATTGTACGTAAGAGTTACATTAAGCTGTGGCTTTGAAGGGAACAAAGTTATTTGTTTGGAACAGAAGACATTAATTAAAGAGAGAGGAATTCTATGATGCATGGCTCAAAGAACAAGTTTGTTCTCTTTATTGTGTAATATAAAACTTTTTCATGGCTTCCCATGTTTTCTTTGAATGCTTAGGCCTGTGTTGCCTAAAGGCAGCTTATGCCAGCTGTTGATGGACATTACATGTATCTGGAAGCAACACATATTGGTCTGATGTGTGATTGGAGGGGGAGAGCTCCTGCAGGTTTACCAAACTGGCTGAAATCTGTAAATCTGTGTTGTTATAAAATGCATAGACCTGTGTTGATAATTTGGAATGGTGTTTGATATCTCTGACATGATGAAAACTATAGTACTGGTATTTCAGCTGTCAACACGTGTATTTGGAGACCTCAAATGTTAACAAGATACTGCGTTTGTATTATTGCATCTCTGGATTTTTCATTGGCTATGTGCCAATCTATGTGGGATTTTGTATGCTAACTAAATAAGCAGCACAGAGAATCATGAGCCCTTTTGCAGTATCTGTCCTTGCACCTTAATTATCAATTGCATTTATTTCACTTGTGCCAAAACGGGTCAACCAAGAAGCCAGGTTTGGACAACAAATAATCCTTGTCACTGAAAAAAAATCTTTAAAGGTGGCAATAACATCTTTTCTCAAGCTAAAAACATGTTTCGAATTAAGCCTTTCTTTCCTAAAAAATAAAGAGAAAAGTAGTTTGATGAATAAGCACCCTGGAGGAAAGCTAAGCTAGAAAACTTGAAGGGAAAAGTCACCAGGTTAAACATGTGATGGGAAATGTACTGCAGAAATAGTCTTTGTGCTTAATTGTTTAAAAACTGTTTTAAGAGCATTTTTTCTCCTTCTGATCTGCAGTATCTGCTGCTTTTCAACAGAATGGTTAAGTTTTATCCTGAGGCATGTTGCTATAAACCATATTGCTTCTGTGGGATGTGTTTTTAGAGTAGCTCTGAGCAGTTTGCAGATACTGGGACTACAAACTTATATTAATTGGGGTAAAATTAATTAATACAGACCTGCACCAGGCTTATATTAAAATGGAAAAATGAATTTGTGAATGATGAGAAGATTGTTTGAAAGGGGTGTTGAATGTGCTCAGAAAAGGTCTCTCTGAAATATGTAGAGCATGGCATGGAACTACAGAGTTGAGTTACAAGGGCAGCAGACCCTCTGAGCTTTTGAATTTATTTATTTTTTTTTCCATTTGGATTTGGAAGAGAGTCCTAACTTAGCCTCAGTGTGAATGTGTTTGGAGTGGGCAAGAGGAGAGTTTGAGTGCAGGACCTGGGGTATGTATTTTGTGTTGAGCAAATGCTCAACAGCAAATGTATTGGCAAACAGTACCTGTGCAGATGATTTCTGAAGCAGTAAGGTATATTATGAAATACCAGAAAAGTAAAGTGCAGACTGTCCTGACTTCGCTTTTCCTTTCTTCCTTCAGAGTGCTTTATATTGGTCTTGCCTGTAATACAGCTCGATACATTTACATCTCGTATCTGGAAAACGCCTGGACTGTCCTTCCGATGGAGGTTCTTCAAGGTAAGACAGGGCAGTCATGCCCTTCAGTGTAAGATCAGGTGCTTACATTTAACATGTTTTAATGTGAACTGTTATTAAGTAAAAATCTGGTATTGCTCTGGTTTTTTTGACCATAAATATCCCAGAGTGCCCAGGCTCATAAAACAAGACTGTTTATCTTGGGAAATATTTGACGTCAGAAGGGTGGGGTTGCATTTGACTGTGCACAGTTCTCTGTTTATTCAAACAGAAAAGTGTGAGACCAACACACCCTTTAGCTAAACAAAGGCAGAAGCACGAGTTGGGCACACACCTACAGCAGATCCTGTTTGGTGGTAAATGTGATCTTCATTAAATGCAAAAGGTTCTTGATAGGTTGTCAAAAAACAAAACAAAACATAGCTGGGTAATTCTGCCTCTGTTAAAATACTTTTTAGCTTTTCAGTGACTATAGAATTTCCTTTTTTTAGTAGCTAGAGAGGAATTTCATGCAATAACTTTGTCTGCTAGTACAGCTTCTTTAAGATACTTGCCCCTTTAACTAATTTAAATAGGACAGAAGTGTGGTCTGGGAAAAATAATTAGAGCTTTGTTTTCGAGTCATATTATCAAAGAAGTCTGTAAGATCTTCATTACAAAGTGAGAGTGTACATTGTTTTAACTTAAATTTTACAACGTTTTGTCTTGTCTTTTCCTGTCACTTCTCAAAACCAGATAACATCTGAACTAATTTACTCGTTCTTCTTCAGTATTTGAAGAATACTGAAGTATTTGGGTTTGCAAGCTTACAAGAGAATGGTTGATTTAAATGCAGAAAATGTTTTCCCTGCCTTTAAAAATAATTGTACCATCTTTTTTAAAGCCAGTATTTTGGCTTTATGCAGTACTACTTAGAACATTTTCCACATATTGTACTTAGAAATTTTATTCTTCTATGTCCAGCATAATTTGAATTTGCATTAACTTTTTTCTACTATGTTCACAGAAATCTTTGTAAGGTAGATTTTTAGCTTGAGTTATAAAATGCCATTGGAGAGCACTATGTAGGTTTCTACATATGCATAGAAAATAAATGTGTTTGTGTCCTGGCTCCTTCCCTCCCTGCTAACATGAATAGTTTGTGTTAAAACTGCCACAGCAGCGAACTTCTGAATTGTTATTGAAAACATCCCAAACCACAGCTCTTGAATTGATACTTCATCATTCATACCAAGTGTTAAAATACAAAAATATTGCAAAGAACCTGAAGAATGCCTTGTGGTACTGAAACATGTAGGGGGAGCAAATGATGAACACAAAGCTTTGGCTATTACCTTCTAGGTAATCCTGTTTCAAAGACACCTCAACTCAAAATATAGGAAAAAAACCCTTGTGTCTCAACAATACAGCCATAAATTTGTGCCTGGAAGCATCCTGTAATAATGATTGAGAAAGCAGTTTCTGTTACTTTGAATCTTGTTTTTATTCTTCTGAAATTTCAATACGAATTGCTTAATATGTAGGTTTGCTTTTACAGCAAGGCTATGAGGGAGCTTTTTTGGGTTTTTTATGTGTTGTAATCTTCAGTAATTGAGATTTAAAGAAAGAACTGAGGACCTTCAAAATAATACATCCTCACGTGCACTTTTGTTAATCTTGCTATTTGCAGTCATTTGTAGTCAGCAACTGAAAAGGTTGAAAGGTAAACAGACACAATTTCTCAAAAGCCTTTGTGTTGTACATGCTCTTCTTAGCCTGCATCTGACATGGTTTATTAGTGTCCATAATGTGCATAGGTGTACTATATGTGTGTCTAATTACTGCTGGTATATTTGTAATGTGCCAGTAAGCTCATTCAGTGTTGCTAAATGGGAGATCAAGTTTGGTTTTAGAAGTAGTGTTGAGGGTTTTTTTTCCTTTATTATTTTCCCCTCCTCACTGTTACCAGTTTTAATCTTTTCTAGATTCGTTATTTCTTTTGCAGCAGTTACCAAATCCTCTTACTTTGGGCTCTTCTTTCTTTCCTACGCAGCCACTGAATCTGTAGGTAAGGGATAAGAGGTGACTCCTTAATGAAATTTGGTGAGGTGGAAGCTCTTATTTTTGTTAAGTGAGTTGTTGACAGAGTTGTAGCTGCTTTCCATATATAAGGTTAGGAGTATTTAAAAAAGAACAAAAAGAGTGTAGATTGTGTCATGGGGGCCATGTGACTGCATCGAGTTGATAGGTCTTTTAATTCCTTGAACTTTTTCCAGGAATCTGTCACAGTCTACATAATTCCAGTTCCATCAGCTAGAGGGATATTAAGGTCAACAGCAGTTTCAGCTGACTTCTGTAAAGAATTTATTTTTCTGTTTAATATGTCACTGCAATACAAGAAAGATTGTCTCCATGTGCTGTGCTGAAGGGCATGGAGAGATTTCTGGAAGATGACTCTGCAAACTGCATCTATTGATTGTAATAAGAACCATGCTGTGTTTCAGTTGCTGCCTGTAACTGGGATGGGAAGGACTCTAAGAGCATTGCACTCTCAAAGGAGTGGAGAAGATTCAAACTCAATTCTTAATTTAGAGTTTTGAATCTGTATGCTGTATTGACTTGCACATGCAATAGATAAAAATAAGAGCCTAGGCTGGATCTTTAATAACTGAAAATTTCAAGATGTCCTTGTAGCAAATGCATTTAGTGTGCACCTATGTATATATGTCATGTCATCAGTTTGAAAACATGCAATAATTCTTGTTCATCTCTCACTTAACAGATTTAAGTTTTGATATGCTTGTTAGCTCCAACTTACTTTTCCAAAGCAGTGGTCCAAGTTCTCTGGTAATGGCTGTGCTAGCTCACCAGTTTGCATAACAGGATTTATTGATAACCCCAAAATTAGCTACTTTAAGTCAGCAGATATCCAACAAACTCCAAAACAAGGAGTTTGTAAGAAGTGTCATCTACTGATGCTGCAGCAACACTGCTATGTCTAGAGAGCAAAAAACTTGGGTATTTAACAGATAGGTCTCCCTTGAAGTAAATTTGGCTCCCAAAATCTTCAGCTCTTGGTTTATATGTAAATTATCCTAAGTTTGCTAAAGATTATTATTCTAAGCATAACACTAGGGTTTTTACACTTCTTGGAACTACAGTCCAGATGGTGAAGTGGGGGTTAGTGGTTTTAGCAAATAATGTGTGTGTGTATATATATACATAATGAACAACTTCTTTTTAAAAGAGCTGTGGTTAGCAGTAATCCAGACCAGACTTCCTATAAAAGTAGTGGTAATAACTTCCAAATAGTTACAGTTGTATAAATAATTATTATGAAAATCACATTAGTGATGTACACATATAAAAAAACCCCACCACCCTCCCTGTACTTTTACAGGCAAGTGAAATAAGCTGGTTTACAGGTATGGATTTAGGTTTCAGAGGAACTGGGAGCACTGTGTTCTATCTGGATTGTCTAGTAAAGGTGAAAACATCCAGGAACCTGTTTGTTAACTTATGGCCTTTTGTTTTCAAAGAAATACAGTGGTATTTTGCTCCACAGTTCAAATAATTTCTGGTGTGTTTTTGATTTGCCTGGCTTTAAAACTTGACTTACTCTTTCATAGCTGATGAAACGGAGTGTTTTACATTAATTTATATCCTTTCTAAAACAAAAACCTCATTATCAGTATTAGCTTTTCTTTATTAGGACGGTTCTTGGTTGCATATGTGGGTCTGCATTTTTAAAAGTAGATATTCAGTGAGCTGTAAAACTGAGCTTTTTGGATGGAAAAATCTGAGTTTTAAAGCCTTATACTGTAAATGGTGAGGTAAAATACACTCGTCCTAATGTAAGCTTTTTATTTTTCAACAAGATGATGTGCTATTACCAAAACCAGCTCTGCAGTGTATAAAAGTAGCCTTTACAAACCTGAAGCTTGAGATATTTTTAATTAGATTTGGAATGAAAATTAACTATACAGCCTTGTGAACATGTAACATCTATACCTGAATACAGTGCTATTTATCATTTTACAACTAAGTAAAATCCAAGGTATTCTGGGAGTATATTACAAAATCATGTGTTTTCCTGCTCTTATGAGTCTTCAGACTAAATGCCTAAGTAATTATTGAGTGTCCAACTGTTCACTAATAAGTCAAGCATAGAGGACAGAAACATGCTGACTGAATCATCAGTTGTGCCAACATTTTTTTAAACTGAGGCAGTAGAGTTCAGGCATTGGTAAGCTGTGATGACTATTTTAATACCACTCAAGTAAGAAAAAAAAATATTCCCACACAATCTGAGGGTGGCAAAATAGTTCAGGCTTATTTAATGTGTGATGAGCTACAAACCAGTTTTCTTTTTCCAGCTTCTCCACAACCCTGCCTTTTCCCATCCTCTTCTTCCCCACTCCACCAAAAAACCCTACCGAGCAGGTGCTTCAAGCCAAGGGCTCCACCTGCAGCCTGGTCCTGCATGCTGGTGGTCATTCACTGTCCTTCCCCTCATGGGAGGAGAAAATGTACCTAACTCTGAACCAACAAGGCAACTGCCAGAAAGAGATGGCAGCTATGGTCCTCCCTGAGGAGCTTGCGTGTTTGCCCATCCAGACCACTCAGTGCTAAGTGCAGTCAGTGCTGGTGTTGAGTTCAGAGGGAGTTTGCTTGGAGGCAGTTGGTCTGGGGGGGAGGGAAAAGGGCAGGAGGGGATTAATTCTTGCTTCTGAAATGACATGGATATCTCAGATATTGTTTGGATTTTATCACCTTTGCACTGCCATCATTGTGGCAGTGAGGAGGCTGCAGAGAGGCATCAGTGCTTTAATTGCCTGAAGCTTATTAAATCAGGACTGTATTTCAAAGGCCCTGGGACATTTTCCAAGGGACGAGGAGTCTGGCAGAGGGACTTTTTTAGGGTGCTTTATTCCATTTTCCTAGGGACTGTGTCTTGAGAAGAGAAGTGAGGACATCTGAGAGGGAGAAAGAGCTGTTGACCGACTCTGCAGAAGGAGTCCTCATGTCTCCCTGCAGCTTGGTTGCCAGCATCACGTTACCAGAAGCTGATTGGTACTCCACAGCCATTTGTCAATGAAGAGATGTTGTTGCTTTTCTCCAAGGCATGCTGCAGCTGATGGGGGCAGTGGCTCTGATGTTGTGTTAGTGTGCTGTGGAGCCCAGGTCCTCACAGTGTTCATCCCTGCAGGTGTCACGCATGCGGCTATCTGGGCAGCTTGTATTTCGTACCTCAGCGCGGCGGTGCCTCCGGAGCTGAGGACGTCAGCCCAGGGGATCCTGCAGGGCCTCCACCTGGGTCTGGGCAGAGGATGTGGGGCTATGATTGGAGGGGTTTTGGTCAATTACTTCGGTAAGCAAAAATTGTGTTGAAGGCTTTTATTTTCTTTATTGAAGCTGTGGTTTTACTGAGCTATGAGTTTTAAGCTTACTTATGTGTAAGATATTGTTATGTTTTGAAGAGTAATACACTCTGTGTAAACCAGGGAATCATAGGACTGCTCAGGCTGGGAGGGACCTCAAGAGATCTCCAGTTCAGGTCCCTAATCAAAACAAGGTCAGCACTGAGTGCAGGCCGGGTTGATTATGGCTTTGTCCTCTCAGCATTACGGGCTGATTAAATACGTTATACCTAGATATTTTTAGTTTTGTATAAGCAAATCTCCAACCTCATCTGTAAGTAAGATGAATGAATCCTTTGTGAGAGATAAGGTTGATACTGTGCAGCCTCTCGATGAACAAATGAAAATCTAATTACTTGGTTAAAAATCCTTTGCAAAGTCTGTTGAAGTGTTAGGGGAGGAAAATGCAATGAGACAAGCTAATAAGAGTCTACATGGGACAACACATAATGCTGACTCATTAAGTTAATAGATTCTCAATTTAGAACAAAAATAAATCTCATTACAGGTCCTGCTGCCACATTCAGAGGAATAGGGATGGCTTGTTTAGTGATTCTTCTTCTGTTTTCACTGATCCAGTGGATGTTGGTTCCTGATGAAGAAGAAGGTAAATACTCATGTCACTGAGAACACTACAAAAATAGAACTAGTGCAAAAAAAGTATCTCTGAAGCTCTCTGCAGCTTCAGTTTTGTGGGTGTGGTGCCTTTACTCGGATTTTGATAAAGCAGTTTGTTGTTGAGTGAGAAGGTTTTTCTTGAGCAAAGATAGAAATTGAAATAGTTGTGCTGCTGGTTGAAGAAGGGCAGCACCGAGTTTGGGATCTCTTTAGGAGGAAAGCGTAACATATTTTACTACCTGTATGTCCTCTCAGCTCTGGGTTAGTCTTAACACCTATAGTGAGTCATTTAAATTGCATCAGTTCTTTAAGGTCACCCTGACCACTTTATGCTCTCAGACTCTACAGTCCAAGCCACCTCTGCCAGAAATTGTAGAGCTGGCTTCAGAGGACACAGACTATTGTAGCTGCCTCAGTTCTGTTCTGGCATCTGAGAAGTCTCCCCTCAGGTGCAACTTGAATTTGTACATCTCCACCCTTACTAATATAAAAGCTAACCAGAAATTAAATACTTGGTGCAAAGTTAAGGATTTAGCATAAATCTTATTCTTACAAAGACAATAAAACTGAAAAATTCTGGAAAGTCATTATTTTTTGAGCTGCTTTTTACCAAAATGTTACTTTCTAGTCTGAGCTTTCTGTATGAAAGTTAGTTTTCTTTAGCTGGAATATTAATGAATTGTCCTTGGCTAGTTATCAAGTTGCCTGTACTGAAGTGTTGAAGTATTTGTTTTGCTAGAATTCTCTTCAACTCTGCTTAAGTGATAATGACAAAAAATGGAAAGGTGAAAAGGATATTTGCTGCTTTGGTTTCCCATCAACTTTTGGTTAATTACATGTGAACCTACAAAACAGTATTTTGTTCTTAGTGGCCTTATTCTGCTTAGTTTCAGTCTTGAGTTTCCATTTAATACACACTACCCATCTCAACAGCTTGTCCTTTCATTCTAAGTTATGAGGTTGCTCTCGACCAGACCAGCTGCATGAGTGAAACTAAGCTTATGGTCAGGTGTGTGCAGGATCAGTCTCTTCCTTTCTTCACTACTAGAGAATATCCAGCCACTGCTTAAAATAGCCAGTACTATCTGAGAGTCTATAACCAAAATACCATTTTATAATTTTGAAAAAAAAAAAAAAAAGGTCTTTTAAATTGGTAAAATATTTCTACTCAGAAGAAATATTTTCTCAAGATTTACTGTATTGTGCTGTTTATACTCACAGACAGCATGCAGCTGTTACTTAAAACATCCAACAGCTTCTATCTATCTGTTTAATTACTTTTCATATATAAATACTCTGGCTCTTGAGACTGTAAGGCACATTGTGTTGGGTCATGACAGTAATTTTATGGGTGATGTTTCCAGACAGTTGTGAAAACTCTTTCAGATTACGAGAAGACCTTAGATGTAAAGATCTGTTGGGAGGATTTCTTCCTTTACCTGAAACTCCGCAACAGATATTTTGTCTCCTCCAATATGTCACTAACTTGTTCTTTTCTCACTAACTGTGTAACTTCATTTTGGTAACTATGGTGGGATGGTTTGTTTCTTAGATAAAAAAGTGAAGAGGCAACTTCTTTAAGTCAAATCAATAGGTTTAGGAACTGTTCTGATGAAGTAGGCTGTGGGACTTCACTGAATGGCACCTGTTTGAAGCTAGTGTTTAGTTACAAATACCATTGAGTCGTAAGGTGCAGGCTTGATGCAGGTAAGTAAGTTTGCTGCAGGTCTAAAAGACTGATTTTCAATTTGCATGTAACATGAAAATTACTTAAGTTTCCATGTGACACAAATAAACATATTTCTAAGAGCTAGCTGGAAAAACATGGGCTGCCTCATGCTCATTAGGTCCTCCTGTTCCTGCAGCCATGTAAAATACATGTCTGCAGTTGCAGAACAGCCTTGCTTCTATGGACAACATCCACCTCATGTTTCCCTAACTAGGCTGTGGCTTGTCCCACTCCTGGCTGTCTGTGCCAGTGTTCTGCTTTCAGGGCAGTGATAACCATATTATGAAAGCAAGAAACACTTTGTCTTCATTGTCTGCTTCACATTTCTTTTTAAGCTTGTTGGCTTTTGCCAGTCATTCTTATTTTGCTTTCAACTTCAGAAAAGACAATGCTGGCAGAAAGGATCCCAGTGCCTTCCAGTCCTGTTCCCATAGCAACTATTGACCTTGTACAACAGCAATCAGAAGATATCATGCCTCGGACTGAGCCCAGACTCCCTCTGAAGAAAACTAAACACCAAGAAGAGCAAGAGGATGTCAACAAGCCTGCCTGGGGCATCAGCTCTTCCCCTTGGGTCACCTTAGCTTATGCTGTCTACCAGATAAAAGAGATGGTTAAACTATCCAAAACCAATCCAATTCCTGAGAACCAGCCTTTGCAGGTAAACTTTTAATGTACAGGAAGTTATGTATTTGTTGGATGGTTGAAAACCTTTATAGCTGTCTCAATCTGTTAGTACCTGGCAGGTATTCTCCATCAGCTTGTAATAAGTTTGGAGTTGTGAAACAGTAGTTGAAATGCTGCATGAAACAGAGATGATTTCTGTGTATAGTACAGCAGGATTAACTATTTTTGCAAGTATTATCTACCTGAGGAGGAGAGGAAGAGACATAGAAATACACTGTTTTACAGGCTTGGATATACTTGAATTCCCTGTAAGTTTACATTTGTTTTCGTATTAGGTGAAATGTGTGGGTTATATGTGTGGGGAACAACAACACATTTTGCAGAATTTGTAAGTTGATGCTTAAGCATGAGAAGGCACAGCTACTTAACAGAGTGTTAAATGGTTCTTACTGAGTTTTGCTTCCTTGGGTGATGCTATCAAGTGTCTATATTGTTGCAGCAATAGGCATTCTAGGCAACTAATGATAAGGATGCAGAGCCTTCTTTTCAAATCAAGTTAATATCTTTTTTAATCTAGACTTATACCAGAGAAGAGCCATTTTGTGACTTAAAACATCCGATTGCTCGTGCTTACTTTACACCATTTCCCTTCTGACCAGTCTCCCCTCAGAATACCCTTTTAATACCTTCAGCTAAATCCATGATTGATGGGCTTGTATTTTGAGCTATCATCTGATGCTTTGGATGTGTCTTGCAGAATGGAGCTGAAGCATACTGCTTGAGCAAAGTAGGGAAATGCTGTCAATGCAAGTTTTAGAAGAGCAAGCATGGTTGATGTTAAAACCTCTGTGTTTACCTGTCTGGAAGAGTGGGTGAGGTTCCTTCTTCTGCACCCAGTAGGCGTAAACACAGAAGTGCTTTTTCCACAACTGCCATCTTTAGAAATGGTTAATTTGGAATATGAGTATGAATCAGCAGAGCACAGTGGGTAGGAATTTCACTTGGTCAGTGATTTCCTGCTTTTCTTATTTGTCTTTATTCTTGAAAATGTATTTACAGGCACATTGGCTTTAGGTTGGTTAAATTTGTGAAATAGCCTCCTTAAAGTGAAAATAGATTTGGAAGGAGGGTCAGTGCACAGAAAATGGAATCAGTGACAGAAATTATTCCTTATTATTTATTTAAGGTTTTGAGTTGAGTTTGCTACTGCTTGCCTGTACTTCTTCAAGGGACATACTTGCCATATTGTCTGTTCTTCAGTGGAAAACAAGTAATAATACATAGCGTGTCACTTCCTAACGTGAAATGTAGTAGTGAAAAGACTTGCTGTTTGAACCCTGGGGAGTGTAACTGGTGTGTAAATGTGCTCTTCAGTTCTGTAGTGAGGCCTGTTTGAGTAGACTGGATGGAATTGTACATCAGTACTGCAAAAGTTGTGCCTTTCAGCAAGTCTAAGCAGTATCTTGGGGAGGGAAGGAACTATTGAGGAAAGCTGTATTTAAGTTGCATGACCAAAAAAATACAGAATTGTTTGGTCAAAAGAATGATCATCTTTGAACACATTGAAGTCCAGTTAATTGTTTTTTTACCCCTTGAAACACAACAAGTTTGTTTTTTGCATGCTTCTTGGGAAAGTGCAGTTAGGAAAAGAGATGGAAGGTAAGCTACTGCCTGCTTGCTGTTAGTGTCATCTGGATTTAAATGTCCTACTTTTGCTTGGCTTCTTTACGTTTGATTTGTTATGTTGCGGGCATCCCAAGTAAGTGCTTTGCCATTTTCCAGGAATGAGATGCATCTGGGGGTATGTCACTGGGGACAGTGCCATGAGTGCTTGCATTCACTTCTTGCATGCAATCCTTTCCCCTCTCTTTAGAAAATCAATGAGAACTGCAGTGCTTCATCAGCCAGTTCAGCAAGTCAGCCCCCAAATCCGACAGATTCTGGGCAGTCCAGAAATTGTTCAGCACCAACACCTACAGCAACATCAGATTCCCAACTAGATGGCGACCACGTTGTGTTGGATCATGATGCTCAGCCTGCTGCTGCCGGGCCCTGAGATATGCTCATCTTATCAAATCCAGTGCATGGAACTCTGCTTCTCACCTGGGAAACGCTGGAGTAGGAGCTCAAAAGTAGGACTTCCTTCATCTTAATGATCATAATATGATGCAGTGCAAGCTTTTAACTATATAAAGAATATTTATATGACTACACAGAGCAACACGAGCAGGGAAGCCAAAAATTTGGAATTCTTGAAGAAAGTGGTGTGGCTGGATCCAACGGTAGGAAGAATTCTTGGCTGCTTTGCTAAAGCTGAGTCAAGTGATAAGAGATTTCTTTGCCATCTAGAAAAAGGGAGTTTGCTCTTCACTTGTTGAGGCACACACTGTCTTGACTAGATGGGGTGATTTTCTCCTTTGAATTTGTTCTCTGGACAGAAGTAAAAGACTTTTTAGTAGAGAAACTGAGTTTCCCTGCATAGTCTATGGGAAAAGATAAGATCCAATAAATACAGAAACAGCTTGAAACTGTCTCTGTAAAGATTTCTCAGAAACAGATCAGTTTTAGCAAGTGTATCTTCATGTTATGGATTAAGTAAAATACATATTCAGAGAATATGTTTTTGAAGCTAATGTTATCTTGTTTGAGATAAAGGTTTAGTTCTGCAAAGAAAAGATTCTGAACTGGTGTTTTAGTGAAACAAAAAAGCTGGAGGAAGGCTTCTGAAGAAGTTAACCTCTGTGCTTGCAGCCCCTCAGTTGGGCATAGGTTGTGTGCATTTGGGTAATTCTAAGTTTGATGTTGTATTGAGACAAGTGTATCTGATGAGATTGCACAACCTGAGATTTATCAAGGGTTTCAGTGGACACACTGTCTTGTTGGGTTTTTATTTAATCATCTATACAATGGTTTATTTAATGCAGTGTAGTTAACATAGTTATTTATTAAGAAAGCAGTAAGCTTTAAGTGCCTAGGGAAGGTGGGGGGTAGGGAGGAATCGCCTAAAAATCTTTGGGATTATAGGGGCAAAGTTGATACAGAAATCAAGTAGAGTGAGAGATTCTCAGGAGGAAGCAAACATAACTAAATTGCAGTATGTTTAGGAAATGACTTTGCCCAATGGGAAGACACTGGAAGACTTTGCATTCAATATTAACTGCAGCCAGCTCACTTGCTGGTGCACAGTGAATGTTGCTGCTGGAGAGATGTCCTTAGGCTCAAGGAGGAGTCTGGGGGGTTTAGTCAGGATAGTGTTTTGGCCCATTTGCTTTGATTCACAGCTTTTTCCTGGGAGATTCTGAGCACTCAGCTTCTACGGGACTGAGTATTGCTCAGCCCTCCCTGACATCGGATGCATGTGATGTGTCAGGCCTGCCATGAGGAAGGTGTGTGCTGGGGGACTGTACAGTGATCCAGAGGTAAGGTGAACAGGAGCACAGGGTTAGGTGAGAGGAAGATGGCAGCAGCTAAGCAGGAAATCCAGTTTGCTTGATTGAAGAGGTGTCCCATAGCTGTGCTTTAGCTGTGCTTCTAGAACAACCCATGCTCTGGTGGTGCCTGGGACCAACACCATAGACAATAACAAGAAACATCGATGACTAGCCACTAGTTACTTCTTTTGCACTTGAACTTAAATGTACTGTACTCACATAAATCCTCATGACTTGTCTAAGTGTCCTTTAAAATCAGAAATGTATTTATTGTATGTTTGTATTTCTTGGGGGAAAGCTGAAGACTGAACAGGTGACAGGACAGAAGTATGCTAAAAATCATCTCGAGGCAAACCATTTGTTGAGTTCATGCTGTTATGGTGTTACCTCAGCTGCTACTGCATAGCACCTGGATTGTGAGGTGAAGAGCTTGTACACTGTGTTTACACTTCAGAATTGTGTATTTGAAATGCCTGCTCTTTTTGGAATTGTATAGTCATTCTATGTTGCAAAATGGACATGCACACCTGGATTTTGATATTTGTGAAACTGTAAAACCTGTGGTAAGAAATATATCCATACTGTATTTAATTCTATCAATCTGAACTTTTATTACATTTGCTCATATTACGGTGCCAACAGTAAACATAATAACTTGAGCTGAAAAGAATTCAACGTTTTGCTAGGTTCACTGCCTGGAGGAAAGTGAACCTAGAGCCTGGGAACTACTCTGGAGCAGCATTAATATCTGTCCCATGATAAAATCTGATAGTAGGCACAAATGTCCTTGTGTGGGGCAGGGAGGGTGTAAGGGCTGCACACTGATGTGCATCATAAAGAGGCTGACAAGGGAAGTGTGCAGGACATCAGGGGTGAAGAGTCAGAACTGGATTACATTTGTCCCCTGGCAGTTTTGAGAGGCTGCTAAGTGCTGGTCATGTCAGACCGTATGGCAGTACATCCCATTTCTGTTTCTGATTAGATTTCCATGGTTGCACCTGTCCTGTACAGTGGCACATTTGCCTGGAATTTGTTTTTATCTCAGGCATTTGACAGTTCAGTTTTTACTGCTTAACTTGTATGCATCCCAAAGTGATGACGAGGAGAGATCTTAGTTTTGTTGTTTGCATGTGTGTACTGTGACCTCCCTTGTCACTTCATGAACATGGCTTTGTGGTAGTTTGGCTCTGCCAGAATGGGAATGACAGGTTCCTTCAGGGAGATGCATTCGAGGTACGGGGGACACTTATTTTGGAGCAACCACAGGTAACGCACAGTTACAGGTTTTTCAGTCTGCAACAAGGGATGAAACCTCAGGACATAAACACACCCAATTTGCATGGCTCCTCCTTGTCATACATCCTGCTGTTCTGAAGACAGTAAATGCATAAGGGAGAACCACATACTTGAAAAACACATTTATTTTTAAAAACCTTGAAAGTACAAGGCAGTATAATAAATGTTGTACCGTGAATACAAAATAAATATGAAATTCTACCTTTTTTAAGTGCTGTGAAACAGAAGATAAATGTAATTCATCCTTCATTAAGGCTTTTGTAAAAGTTAAAGACAATGGATTAATATCCAGATTCTGTTCCAAGATATTCTGGCTGAACACCAGACAGTACTTACCAACTTCTTAACAACTGTGTTTCAGTAAAGCTGTGCAATATGCATATATCACAGGTGCACTGTAAGTAAACTCTGTTGGCAAAGGGCTCAAATGACAGTCGTTGCTTTTGGCATATTTTGTTGATCAGATGCTTCCAATGTCAGGACAAGCTTATGAGGACTTTTAAGGTAAGTATCAGCTATCCACTAAAGCAGTCTTCATCTTTCTCACATGCATAAAACCTGGTTTATTCTTTTTTCCTTCTTTTTTTTTTTTTCCTTGTTGGCATCCATATACCTGGTATTGTTCCAAGTAACTTAGAAAAAGGGGCAGTGTCTGAAAACTGTAATTGCCTGCTTTGTGTGGGGGTGCTTTTCCATTGAACATACTGCTTAGGTAAAATATTACCTTAATGTGTTACCTGGGCTATTGTATATAAATACACATTATGTACTTATGGAAGGATAATCACCACTACCTCAGTAAACAGAGGAAATGAGAAGCACTGTGTTTAAGCTGATTCTCCCCCATGGTCTCAAACCACACAGATGTGAGTTCTTAAGCAACTACAAAGTACACTGGAAAAGCCTGTGTACTTTAAAACATGCAAAAAACATATAACATTAAGACATCTCTTCAAGTCTCCTTTTTTGACTAATCTGTAATAATTCTAAGTACTTCTTTTTCATGATGGCAACACAGGCAAATGCTAAATAAATCCATAGTCTACAGTAAAGATCATTGTTTGGGGTGAGGGAGTTTCCATCCTTCTCCCAAACCATCAAAGATCATGAGGCTTTCCTCAGTTTTCACAACAGCTAACGCTTCTGGCTTCCTGCTAGTGACAGAAGCCCAAGCCAAGCCTGACTTTGGGGTGTGCATGGCAATTTAACTGTCAATTTGGTAGTAGCAGCCTCTCTTTGAAGTGACTCCTGCTGCTAGTGGCCTTCCTGAACAGAACTCTCTTGTTCTAGTTTTTTAATGTTGTGGTCTTACCAGCGAGTGTATCTTAAATTTATAAATTTATGGCACAGAAGGGTGATAAGTATCTCCTTACTGTAAAATGGAAAAGTTTATTTTCAAATGAAGCAACATTGAAGCTCTAGGAAGGTGAAGGCCCATATAAGTAAGGCTTTCAAGCACCAACTCCGAGTCCTGCTTTATACAGAGGAGCTCTTGGAATGTACTACAGCAGCACTTCTTAGCACTGTTAGAGGTAACAGATTTTCTCCCTTGTCCAGCAATGGACAATGAGAAACCATGATAGTGCAGGTTCTGCTGAAGTTACACTGCGTCACTGGGTGTGTCACAAAGAAAATATATCCCTTTTAAAATTAATATATCCTGCTCTGAAATGCCATTCTGGAGAGGTCTGTAAGATAGATGGGGAGAGAATTAATAGTCTTATGTTTTCTTCAGGTTGGAGACTCTAAAGGAAAACTAGAAGGTGAGGCTAGAAGAATACAGGGATAGTGTAAAGAACAAAAGAAGGAATTTGCCTGTGCAGGTGGATAAACAGAGGAGACATGTTCTACTCCCTAGCTAAGGATTGTGTAATACATAAGCTGAAAGATATTTGACTGGCTAAATTTCTGTCCCTGTTCTTTTCTTTCCCCCCCCCACACCTCCTGTGGTAAGTCCCAAAGAGGGATAAAGAAGGGGGGAAGGAAGGAGCAAGGTAATGCTCCCTCCATGTTTTGCTTGGAATTACTTTCCACTTTTTATTGAATGAGCAAACTACTGAGTACTCAGAGGAGAGTGAAGCTGTGTGTGGGTTATCTGTACTCCCAGTTACATGGTTACAGCATCACTCCAACTCTGCTGACAGCAGTTCCTCCAAGCAGCTGAAACAGCCTCAGCCTTTGTCACCTTTTCTGGGCTGTTGAGAGCTAGAATACAGGGCAGTGCCCATCAGAGGTCAGGTTACAATAAAATTGAAAGCAGTAGTAAAAATACATTTGGGGATGGAAGTGCTCTGCTGAATCATCTGTTA